TGCCCAAATCCCCATCCACCCACCAAAGAATGATTCTCCAAGAGTCTTTTTGGAGACATGCATCTTTACATGAATTGTGTTTCCTGGGGGAGGTAGCTCCTTAAGAAGGAAGATGGCAGTGAGTTCCATGACACTTCCATCAACTCCTTCCATGTTTGACCATTTCCATTATTCTCAGGGGAGCTAAATCCTGTCATACTAACCTCAGGAGGTGGCTGGGAGGGCTCAGATGACATGCTGGGTATGAAAGCCCTTTGTAACTAGCATGACAGGAACCAGCCTTAATCTTTGCTGCTCTTGGCTGATATAATCCTCTCAAAATTGGGGCAGGGAGAGTAGGTGATGACCCCATTTTACTTCAGCTTGGGAGCAAGTCGATGCTGTGTTATCACACATCAATCTAGTGGCAGGAGTCCAGGGCTGCAGGTGCTAAGTCCTCTTCTACCAGTTCCACCTTCTACCTTCCAGCCCCACTCACTGCTCCTACATGATCCCAGAAGATGGGATGATTCAGTTCTCCTACCTCACCTAACCCAAGGCTGCTACCCCCTTTGCCTGGGGTGGCTACAGAAATAGATGTGCCCTCTGATGAACTCCACTCTGGTGCCACTCTCCCCTACATTTGGCCAGTAGGCCCGTAAAGCTGCTTGAAGCCCCACCATTAAACCCATTCTTTTGAATGAAGGCAAAGGTGTTCAGCCAACAGAGGAGGGTCCCCAGGCCAATCTGTGTTTCCTCAGAGATCAAAACACACCACCTTTTGACTGCAAATCGCTTCACCTAGCACCAAGGTCTTTCTCATACGACTTTGACTGCTAAAGGGAGTCAGGGGGATAGCATGGACTTTGGAACTTGCTGGGGCAATTGGAACATGGGGAGGGGGTTGGGCTGCTAGAGAGTTTAAGCTGGAGACTGGGAGGCTGGAGGCAGGGAGTGAGGGCATGCTAACTCCTCTGAGCCTTGATTTCCTTCTGTAAAATGGCAATAATGCCACCACCTCATGCATTTGCTGTGCATGTGCACCATCATCATCATGATTCTCAAACTGAGTGTGGGAGAAGAGAGTATAGGATGGTGCTGCTGAATACACATGGCACATTCTTCCCAGGATTTTATTTGAGGATTTGGAGGTGGGAGAGTTTTATAATAAAACTTGGATTCATTATACAGCATAATGCAGACCTTGAATGTATTTAAAGAGTAAAAAAGGGAGTTTTGAAAGAGATGTCATGCTTCTAGTGGGCTGCTTCTCACTACACCCCCAGATCCCTGGAGATTGGACACGTGATCACACCCCAGCGTGCCATGTAGGGACTAGGGACTGCAGTAGAAAAGCAGGAGCAATGCTATCTGATGGAGGTTGAGAAGTGCCTGGCATGCAGTAGGCGGTCAGTAAATGGTGGCTTGTATTATGGCAGCAGCTATATCCTCCCAGAGAAAACAAGCTCACACAGATGAAATTCTCAGTTGGACTCATTCAGCAAGAAAGTGACAGAGCCAGGACTGAAACAAACTCCTGACTCCACATCCAGTGCTCTGTCACTTAACTCCCATCTCCTTCCCATGGGAAAGGGCTTAATGGTCAGTAGCCTTCCCCTGCTTCGGCCACTACCCCATTTCTCCCTTTCCCTCTTAGAACTTCCTCTGGTCAAGGAGGCTGGATTCCCTGGGTTCCAGTCCTATGGGGGCACACATGGGTAACTCCCCTAAAAGGCAGGCACCCCTGGGAGGAGGCAGCAGACACACAGTTTGGATAAACAAACCTGTAGACATAGGAATGATGAGTTTTGGGTGGGAAGAGGAAAGGTCCACAGTATGAAGATGCTCTCAGGATTGGGTGGAGGCCAGAAGCATTGGTCATGAGGCCAGAGGTACACCAAAATCTACATTTCCCCCTCAGTTTCATCTAAGACAACAGGCCCTCAGCTCTGCATCCCATTTTCAGAGCTCAGGTTTCTGGGTCCAGATCAGGATCAAGGGTGCCCTGGGTCTTGCCAACTGGTTAAGGAGTGATATGGCACCCAGGAATAGCAGAGGATTTGGGGGTACCCCAAGCCATTTTCTCTCTAGGCTCTGCCAGGCTGGCCTCCCTGCCTTGGGCCTTTGTAAAGGTTTGTTTTTGTGTTTGTCTGTCTCCCTAAATGAGAGGAACCTATGGTCCCAAGTGAATGAATCAACAATCCAGATGTGTCCAGCTTCTGCTTCATGCCAAGAAATGGGGTTGGGGGAGAGCCTGTCACACTCAAGCTTCATTTACTACTCACAACAACCCAGTAAGAGTGTCTATTTCCCATTTTACAGATGAAGAAACTGAGGCTTAGAGGCTTGTTGCTCAGGTCTCAGAATATCCTCAGGCATTGGTGGAAATGCAAATTTTTGGTCCCACTCCAGATCCCCTCAGAATTTACCTGCAGTAAACTTGAGAATCTGCATTTTTAACAAAGGTGACCATCAGGTGAATCCCATGCCTACATAGTTCTAAAACCTCGACAGAGCAGTTTAGTAACCTGCTAACGCAGCTTTTGAGCGGCAGAGCTGGGATGCAAACCTGAGCCTTCTTAAGCCAAGTCCAGGGCTCTTTTCAGCACTTTTGAGAAGCTGGATATCTGTCACTACCCTGTGCTTCTCAGTGTCCGCCACACAGGCACACAGTAAACTTTACCTGAGTGAATGAATGAATGAATCTTGGGGCCCTAGCTGCTTGCTGTGGGGCAGGGGGCGGGCCAGAGACCCTGTTCCAGGGGAGGGAGGGTTTATGCATTGCTGAGACGACGGACATGCAGACCCAGGCCGTGTTGCTTTCAGAAAAGCCACTGGCAGAAGATCCGGACCATGGTGAACCTACCAGTCATAAGCCCTTTCAAGAGGCGCTACGCATGGGTGCAGCTGGCTGGACACACGGGTGAGCACGCGGCTGGGGTGTGTGGGTGCCCCGGGGAGGGAGGGACTAAGCAGTGCTAACTGGTGTGGGTCTGCAGGGAGTTTCAAGGCTGCAGGCACCAGCGGGCTGATTCTCAAGCGCAGCTCGGAGCCTGAGCGCTACTGCCTGGCGCGGCTGATGGCCGACGCGCTGCGCGGCTGCGTGCCCGCCTTCCACGGTGTGGTGGAGCGTGACGGCGAGACCTACCTACAGTTGCAGGACCTGCTCCACGGCTTCGATGGGCCCTGCGTACTTGATTGCAAGATGGGCGTCAGGTACGCGTGCCCTGTGAGCCGGACGGAGACCCCTGGGCGGGGGCCCAGGGCTGAGATGAGAGTTCTACCGGGTACCCCAGGCCGTGCTCGACAGGGTCCCGGGGTGCGACCGCTCATGCCCTGCTGCTGCCTGCGCCTCCGTAGGACTTACCTGGAAGAGGAGCTGACCAAAGCCCGCGAGCGGCCCAAGCTGCGGAAGGACATGTACAAAAAGATGCTGGCGGTGGACCCTGCGGCGCCCACTGAGGAGGAGCACGCGCAGCGCGCGGTCACCAAGCCGCGCTACATGCAGTGGCGAGAAGGCATCAGCTCCAGCACCACACTCGGCTTCCGCATCGAGGGCATCAAGGTGGGCCAGGCCCGCTTCGCTTTGCCGAGTCCCGGCCCTTCCTCCCTGACAGCCCCATAGCGCGGTATCTGCCCTCCATGTCGGACCCCCACCCTGGCCTCCAATGTCCCGGGAGGTACTGTTGCTCTAAGTCATCCTCTCCCCTCTGGTGCATAAGGGGCCCCTGACACTTCCTGTCTCACCTCCTTAAGAAAGCCGACGGATCCTGCAGCACGGACTTCAAGACCACACGAAGCCGGGAGCAGGTGATTCGCGTCTTTGAGGACTTTGTGCAAGGGGATGCGGAAGTGCTGGTGAGCGCCGGATCCTAGAACCCTGAGGTGTTGGGGAGCCTGAAACCGAGGGATGCCCCCCAGGTCATCCAGTCTACTGCCCTCGCCTGTGTGACCCCCATCGTACCATTTATCATTGTGTTGTAATTGTTTTACGTTTTCCCCCATCTGTTCTGCGCTCCACATGGAGCGTCTGTGTTTTTCTCACCACGGTGTTTGCCAAGCGGGGCATGCATCGTGGCTCCTAATATTAGCAGAGGCTCAATTAGGGTTTAGTTAATTTGCACCCCTCTCCTCCCTACCCTCTCCAGAGGAGGTATCTGAACCGCCTGCAGCAGATCCGGGACACCCTGGAGGTCTCTGAGTTCTTCAGGAGGCACGAGGTAAGAGTGGTAGGGTAGGCTCAGGTGCTGGGTCTGTGGTTTGTGAGGGCTTCAGCGGGAATAAAATGGGGGGCTTTTGTGGGAGAGGGCCGTGACCTGACCACGTGGGGCCCGGCAGGTGATCGGCAGCTCGCTGCTCTTCGTGCATGATCACTGCCATCGTGCCGGTGTGTGGCTCATCGACTTCGGCAAGACCACGCCCCTCCCCGACGGCCAGACCTTGGACCACCGCAGGCCCTGGGAGGAGGGCAACCGCGAAGATGGCTATTTGCTAGGGCTGGACAATCTCATTGGCATCCTGGCCAGCCTGACCCAGAGATGAGGCTGGGCTCCTGTTCCCGCTCAGACAGGCTGGTCTGACAGATGGACCTTCAGGTTGTGTCCCCGCCATGCATGCGGACGAGAGGCTGAAACCCCGAGGTTGGGATGTTCACAGGGTCCTGCAGGGCCAGGTGCCAACCACAATGGGACGCACTGCACGCACTGGGGCTATTCCCCATACAAGCCCCAGAGGTCCCAGAGCCAATGACACTAATTTATGGGGATAGACTGGGACAATGGGCTTCTTCCTCAGCCCAGCTCTTCTGAGGGGGCTCTGTACCTCTCCAGAGAGGCCAGATAATGAATTTTATGTTGCAGGCACTAGATCTATTGGTCTAACCTCCCACACTACAATGGACTCCCCTTCCCAATAAAACTTGAAGACACCAGCTTTGACGACTCAGGACTCATCCCCTCCCTCCTCTGGTCCCCTTTCTCAGTTCCCAGGCATCTTGCATATCCACTCAGATGACCAGAGGATATAAGAAGAGCCCTTTATTAGAGGCATCTGTAGGGTTGGGGGCTTCCCAGATGAAGGATGCTTATGGGGGAAGGGCAATCCATTGAAAGCTTCCTGCAGGAGGCAATTTCAACTCCCCACCCTTACTTGGAGGGGAGGAGGGGTAACTTCTGGTTCCAAAGATCAAAAGCTGGGAGTGGCTAGGCTCCTCCCCAGAAGGCCTGGGGCTGGTTTCCAGGATGGAAAGTTCAGTGGTGCAGTCCAACCCTGAGACAAGCCCAGGCACACAGCACAGACAGGGGTGCAGGACAGAGGCTACTGGAATAACAAGCTACCTAAGAGCCTGGGGAGGAGTGCGGGGAGGATTGCAGGGAGGAAGCGTTGCTAGCATCAATGCCTGAGTCCTCATCCTGGGGGCCCCTTGGAGCCCAGGAGCCATAGGTGGGATTCCAAAAGTTCAGAGGTTGGAGGCCCCTGGATTTGGGGGACTTGAAGCCAGGGGCCAAGAAGGCTTCCTCCGCAGCCCTTCAAGCTCTCCAGACTCAGCTCCTGGGCCTGCGGGGATCTTAGGCCCTCCAAAGATCTGCTCCCCAGCCCAGATGCCCTGTCCTCCTCCAGTTTGGGCACCAGCTCCACTGGCAGGGGTGAATTCAGCACATCAGGGTCCTATAAGGGGAGAGTAAGGGAGCAGGAGGCCAGTGTTGTTTTATGGCTTCCTTCCTGACCCCCAAGACTAGGATGGTCAGGGCAAGTGATTGGACACACCTGAGTGCAGTATTGAAGCCGTTCCAAGATGCTGGCAAGACTAGGGCTGAGTTCAGGCTGGTGCTGTCAACACTGGGTCATGATACGGTACCTGGGGAGAAACAGGAGTTCATGACCACCCTTGGCTGTGAAGGACCCCTTTCCCTGGACAATACTCCACACTCACCCAGGTCCTGGACAGCCCCTGGGAGGGTCCATCCGTCCGTCCCCCTTTAACTACAAAGTCTAACACCTCCTGGTTGGTGCACCAGGGTAGGGCATGTAGCCCAGAGAGAAGATCTCCCAGAGCGGTACTCCAAAAGACCTGCATCCTGAATGAGGGGAACTAAATGAAGCCCATCAGGCACAGTCTCCCCTTCCCTCACATGAGGTGGCCCAAGGCAGGGGAGAGGGAAGGGTGTGTTATCACCAGGTGTCTGTCTTGGATGTAAGATGCCCTCTAGGAAGGCCTCTGGGGGCATCCACTTGACTGGCAGCAGAGCCTGCCTCCCTTGCGGTAATAACTGGCTCTACAGGAGGGAGGAAGGGAGTTGTGAGTTCAAATACCACAGGGTGCTGCTGGGAAACCCTTGAAGAAACAGCAGCCTTCCCCACCTCCCCAGGCCCCACACCTGTAGATATCTCTTGCCATTGCGAAGTCCCCTATCTTGGCCACTCTGCTGGGCCCAGTGCAGCTCAGCAGACAGTTCCTGGCAGCAATGTCCCTAGAGTCAGGCAGAAAAAAATCACTGCCAAACAGTCTCTGGCTCTGATGACTTTCATAAAAGGTATGTGGAAGGGCCCTTTCTTGGGCAGGGAGCTGGGCTAGGGGGTCCCTCATGCCAGGATCACCCCCAACCTGTGGATGAAGTGATTTTCTTCCAGGTAGTGGCAGCCCTGAGCTATGTCCTGGGCCAGCTGGAGCAGATCCTGCATGGCCAGAGGTGACAGCTGGCCCTGGGTTGGGCAGAGGGCACATTAATCCATGCAGGTTTGGGGATACATGGACAAGGTGTTTAGAGGGGCCTGGAGGGCTAGGAGAAGGGTCTTACCAGGTGTGGCCTGCTGTGCCTCAGGAAACTCTTCATGTCCCCTCCCGACATCAACTCCAGTGAATTAGGCGAGGGGCAGCCCGAAGGCTGAGTCCCACACAGCGCACAATATTTTGATGGCTAAACTTGCTAGGCCGGTGGTACATACACCCCATCACTAGCAGGGAGAGAAACCATGCTCTAGGCTCCACAAAACCGGAGGGGACCTCTGTGTCCCTAGACTTGCTACCTTTCAGCCCCAGGGTGAAGAGAGGCTGTTCCTGCAGGCAGTCCTGGGTGCCTCCCCACCACCTTCCACCCCAGCCCCTGGCCCCAGATGCACCTGATGATGAGCACCTCCATGAGGAAATCCAACTAATCCTGATGAGAGCAGAGTTCTGGCAGTGTTTGGGGAGGAAAGGGGCACAAAGCTCCTGATTTCCCCAGACACTTCAGGAGGATGGGTTTACCCTAGCTCCAGAAAATGTTTCTCCCTCCATAGAGCCCTATTCTCCTACCCCCAGCTAGAAGTCCTACCCCCTCTCACCTTGGTAGTTACCTGCAGGGGGCTGAGGTCCCCAGGAAGGCCAATTACCAGTCCCTCATAGACCTCTCCAAAGGCACTATGGCCCAGGGCTCTGCAGGAAGACAGGTTGGAAGGGGGTGGGTGGCTGAGCCTGACGGAGGGTCCTAGAGAGTACAGTGTCTCCTTTGCCTCCCTTGTCCCCCTTCCTGCCCAGCTGGCCTTATCTGAGAGTCTGCATCATGGCATGCCCCAACTTCAAGCCCTACAGAGGCAGCGTTGACTGGCACAGAGCCAAGGCAGAAGAGAGGACAGGTGTGGGGTCAAGGTAGGGGTGGGAGTCTGTGTGAGGCCTTCCTTCAGGTCCTTGCAAACACCTTAGGACGGAGGCAACCCATGCTCCAAAGGAATCCTATCCTAGGGTCCCTACTATCCCAGAATTGGGGATGACAGCTGATCCTGGACAAGTCACTCTCCCTTTCGGAGCTTCTCTAGCCTCTATCTCCTCTACACAAGGGGTTTGGGCCAGCTGCTCTCTGGGATCAATAGTTCACCACAGCAGGGAGTGGGGGATGGGTGGGTTGAGGATTCAGAGTGCATAGGTTCTCAGAAGGAATGAGATAACTCACCTGAGCAGAGTGACATTGGCTGGGGAAACCTTAGTAAGCCCCGGGGGGTGGGGGGGCCCAGAGGCCAGGACTGGGCGGTGTCAAGCCCCACATGTCTGTAGTAGGGATTGGGGGCTGTCTTGATGGTGGAGGTTTGAAGCTTTCTCAGCTCAAGCTCAGGGCCTGGCAGCATTGTACCCCAAAGGCCCTGCCACTTCTTATGGTTCACTGAGGCTGGGAGGAACAATGGCACTCTCTACCTGCCCATCAGGCCCATCCTGCTTTGCGTCCCCCAACCCCTGCCCAGGATACCTCTCCAAGTGCCCTTTAAGGCAAATGTTTTCCCCAGGCCTTCCCAGCTGCTTCTACTCTTAGAACCCCAGCGGAGTCCACTGCTGGTCTACTGGGAATAGGGATCTTGAAATCAGCCGTGTCTGTCCCTGGGACCCCCACACAGCTCAGTGGAGAGGTGGGCAGACTTGAATCAGCCGTGCCTGCTGGATGCTCCGAACCCAGAATCAGGACCCCACACACCATAAGGAGGCTCAGTGTAGAGGTCACCACCACAGCCACCAATAGAACCAGAGGGCCTGGGTGTGTGGGAAGAAAGAGAGACATGTCCAGTGGGAAGCTCCTCTCTGTCCCTCTAACCCAGGTTTTACCCGTGCCTCAAGACTCAGCTCAAGTGTTAACTTTTCCATGATGTTTTTTTCATTTATCCTCAACAAACACAACCTCTCCCTCCTGAGAATCCCCCATGGTAATCGTCACTTTGATATATATCTATAACTAGATATATACAGATGGATCTATATATCTATATAGATGTATAGATCTAGATAGATATGACCCCTCCCATACTAGACTAGGTATATGTTCTGTAAAGGCGAGCACACGCTGCTGCATCTCCAATCTCCTGCCCACACTCAACACAGTGCCTGGCACACAGCAGGCAACATTCCCAGTACCCTACTGCTCCTTCCAGCCCACAGCCCCAGGAGTCCAGACCTTGGACAAAAGCAGAACACACCCATGCACGTGACATTACCCACAGCTAGCTCCATGCTCTCTGGGCACATGCATGTGGACAAATTGGAGCTCTGCCTGCCATTGGCAGTCTTTCAAAAGGCAATGACTGCCTGCCATTATAAACCAGAGGTAACTACCTTTTTCTGCAAGATAAAATCATAAAACATAAAAAAAAAATAAAAAGGCAATGACTGCTATTGAGGAGCAGTCGGATCTCCACTTCTCCATGGCTCTCTGTGATGATGAGTAAAAGAACTGATATTACAGGGTGAGGACAAGGGACATACCTACTTTTCCCAGCCACATGGTTAATTCTCCCCTGGACTTCAGAACAAGAAGCAAGGCCAGGCATTTAAGGGTGGATGGGAGGGCTTGGGGACTTTTGTCAAGCCTGTATACTCCCTCTTCTGGAATCCCTGAGCTCACAGGTATTTGAGGAGAGTTCATAGCAAGGAGATACTTGACAAGCACCCCAGAATACTCCATGCTGGCATCACAACTAACAGCCCAAGTTCCCAAATATTCCTGTGCTGTGCAAGAAGCAGGTAGTTCCCTGTGCAGAGTTGGTGGCTTAGATGGGAGTGGGCTCAGAGATGGATGAAAAGGGCTAGGCCAAGCTGAAAGGTGGGGGGTAGGAGCCATACCTGCCAGAGGCTGCAGGTAGAGCTCACTGCTGGGGTGTAGGAAGGATACCCGATCTTCCCCATCAGCCCAGAGGATGTCAGTCTCTGAGGCATCACCCCCTGGAAGTTAAAAGCGACAGAGGATTTGGCTACAAAATGGGGGGAGGAAGGGAAGATGCCTCACAACTGGGAAGTGGGTTTATGAACAGCGGGGAAGCTGGAATCTCCCAGTGGAAATCCCAGCGTGGCCTTCTCTGCACAAGCATTACAATACAGATGGTGCCAGTTCACAAGTAGGAGTCAGGAGCCAGAGGGGTGGGGAGGGAGTAATTAGCTGGAAACTGAAAGCCTGTCTCAGGCTGGCTGGGACACCTCCTTGTCTGCCTGACCCCTCTGGTCCCATGAACTCTGCTATAAAATGGGAGACACCCAACCCACCCACATGTTCCATTTCTGTGAAGTAGATACCTCATGAACAGTACAGCCCAGACACATACAAAGGCTCTGTTTCTTTACATCAGTGGTTTCCAAACTCGGGCATGTATCACAATCATCTAGAGGAGTGATTAAAACAAAAAGGGCTGGGAGCCTCTCCTAGCCTGGAGTTTCTGATTCAGTAGGTTGGAGAGGGACTGAGAATTTGCATTTCTAAAAACTCCTTATGTGGTGCTGATGCTACTGGTTCAGGGACTACACTTTGAGAACTACTGACAAAGTACCTCTGCTTTTCTGCCTGTCTGCTCAGCTTGCTAACTCAGCCAGCTCTAAGTTCTTGCGACTGCTGCAGAACAAGGAGGGGACCTATTGTTCCTGGACCTGATGGAAAAGGTCCTGGATTTAAATGAAAATCTAGGGAGTCCTGTCTGCATGTGTGATTTGCAACTTATCCGACCTCTTTTTCTAAGAGCTATTACTCTACCTGCTCTGGCCTGGAGCGGGGCTCAACACCTTTCTCATCCATCCTTCTGAGAGACTCCGCCTGTTCTACGGCTCTAACCTCACCTCACCCTGGGGGCTGTCCAACTTCCCTCCCCAATTGTGCACCTACCCCAGTAGCCGCCGCCGTCTCCGTCAGCAGTGCAGGCCCCACCGCAGCCCCCAAAGCCTCCAGCTGCGGCCCAGCCAAGCGTAGCCCAGGCCTCTGGGCAGCCCTGGCCGCCCTCCGCTTCCTCCTGCAGTGAGCGGCCGGCCTGCGGAGTGGGGGCCTGCGGAGCGACAGCAGGATGGCTGACAGCGGGGATGGAGGGCAAGCATGCCTCTCCCCGCGGCCCAGGGCCCTCACCAGCCGCCCCGCCTCTCCCGTGGCTCCCGGGCGCCGCCGAGCGGCTCTCCAGTTTTTCGGTGGTGGCCTGAGTCCGGCCTCTGTCCTGCAGCCTCAGACAGGCCCGACCGCCTCCGCCCGCCGCCACCACCAGCGGCTCCAGCTCGCCCGCGCGCAGCTACGGGGCCAGCAGCGCGTTCAGGGGCGCGGTCTCCGGCCGTCGAGTGAGGACCGGGATACTGAAAAAGGGCCCCCAGAGCTGGGGTAGGGGAAGGGGCTCCCAGCCAGGCCCACGGACTTTGGGACCCCAAGGCCCGTACGTAGAGTCTGTGTGTGCGCGCGCCCGAGCGAAGACGTTTGGGATCTCTACGGTGAGCGTCGGCGGCAAACACCTACACGAAAGACACAGGTGGCGCCTCCACCTCCGCCGCCGCCTCCCGCCCAGCGCCGCGATCCCGGAACCCCTTCGGTCCCATCTGTCGCCGCGTGCTCCTCAGCCAACCGAAACTCTCCGAGACAGACGAGCTGGCTCTCCTGGCTCCCCTGAGGGCATCGGGCTCCAACCTGCTGGGCCCCGTACCCTCCCCTCGCAGTCTGAACACCGAAGAGCGCCCCCACCTTTCAGCCAGCCCTCGCCCTGGGGCGCTTGAGCCCCATCCCACTGGTCCTGCTTACTCCGGGACAGGCGTCGTCTCTCTGCTGCCCCACGAGGATGTAAAGCAGTTCCCCACGACCAAGGGACAAGACCGCTGAGAGCAAGACGCCATGCGCCAGTAACAGGGGGTTCTTGGCGCCTTTGCCGCCCGCGTGTAGGCTGAGATCCTGCGGAAAGCTGATGCTGAATCCCCGGCCCTGGACCTTGGGCTCTGGGGCCGCTCATTTGGGGCAGAGGTTGGTGACAGAGGCGACTCCAGACATTCTTGTCTGAGAGACTTAGAGGCCGTAGTCGATTTTGAAGGACGGAGAGACTAGGTTTGTACACCATAAAATTCGATTTTACACTTATTTTAGGGGGCTTAATAGGGATGGGGGTGCTCAAGCCTCTCCTTGGAGCCGCCGGCGGTTAGGAGTCCCCTGCTTGGTGGGAACAGGCTCCTTAGGGTAATACCCTAAGATGAAGTGTGGTGTGCCCGTGGCCTTCCTTCCCCTGATGGTAGAGCCTGACTCACAGGTCACCACCCACCACCTCTATCCCTGCTTCGCACTTACAGGTACTGGCCGGAGCCTGGCACCCGCCACAACTGCATGCCTCTCAGAGGCCCGGCGGCCCCCACTGTCACCACCACGCTGCTGCCAGCATACGCCCCGTCGCACAGTTTGTGTGGGCCCGTGCCGCCCGCTGGCACCGCAGGTGGAGAACTGCCAAGGCCCCTCCGTGGCTGGGAGCAGGGAGGGAGGAAAGGGTCATTGAGCACTTGTCCCGGCCTGGTATGGTGAGCCAAGGGAAGAGAGAGCCTTCAGCTCACCTGAGCGAATTAGGGGAGAGGCTGGCTTCAAGCCGTTAAGCGCCCCAGTGACGTTGGGGTCCTGGGAGCTTGGAGCTAGCGGGGATGAGAATGGCAAAAAAGGAGCCTGGTAACCGGAGCTGGAGCAAAAAAATGGCTCCTGAAAGGTGACAGGGAGACACAGCTGTGTTGGGAGAGGGAGCAGGATATTAATGGGAGACGGGAGATAAAGAGATAGAAAACCTCTTGACCGCCAGTCTTGCCTTTCGCGGCCACGTCCTTAACCCCACCCAGCCGGTGCACACCAGCGCCTAGAAGCCGGCCCCAACCCGACTTTGGTCGCTGAAGCCCCGCTTGGGTGTCCGCTGATACCTCTCTGTAAGTTTCCTGGAGAGCCCCTCCCAGTGAATAACTGAGCTCGTTCTTGCAGCCCCCACCCCCATCCTTTCCTCGACTAAGCTTGGTGGTCCCTCCCCAAGGCTGTGCTGAGGCCCCAGGGCCTGTTCCTCCTTCCCGAGATGCGTGATTGGGATCCTCGGTTTTAGGCAAGCACCGCGTTCCTCTGCCCGCACTTCCCAAGCACCCATCGGGAGCGTTGGCCGCAAGGCTACGGGGCCTCTAAAGGAGCCATAGGGACCCAGTTTGTCGCGACCGCCGTCCCCAAGCCTAGGAAAGTGCCTGGCCGGACAGTTCCCTGACTGCCAGAAAGCACTTACCTGCAGCTCGGAGCCACAGCAGTAGCTGCCTGGAGCGGTCCATCACCCTTGCCGCCTGCCACAGCTAGGGTTGCCTGCTGAGACCCTGCCACTTCGGCCCTGACCGCCGCTTATAGGACTGTCCAGCCGCTTACTAGATATCGCCGGGTCCTAAAGCCGGCATGACCACTCCCATCTCAGACCCCGGGGTGTTGAAGGAGGGGAAGGAAGGGGCGTGTGGGCAGAGAGGTCCCCAGGCTTCAGGGAAGAACCTTGTGAAGCCACCCACCCAAGGACTCTCAGTCTCCAGCCACTGGGTCTGCTGCCATCTGCCCAGGGAATGGGGTGGGTAGGAGGTAGGGGAGGAAGTGCCTCTACCCTTTTGAGGCAGGAGCATGAGCAAGTGGTGAGCCACATCCCAGACACCCCAAGTGGGCTTCTAGGTCTCCTCTGTCAGGAGCAGTGGGGTGTGTGTGCGCATGCGCTTCATTGGTGATGGCCAAGGTGATAACACATGGGAAACGCTCTTTAAACTGCCCCAAGTAAGGCATCATTACTTGCCATTACTTGTGTCTTTCAGTGACTTTGTGACTGCAAGGCTGCACTTCCTGACACTCTCAGAAACATGGATCTCAGGAGGTTCCATTGCCTGTGTTTAACTCTGTGATGGGGTGAAAGCCTGGACCCTGATGTCAGATCTGAGTGCTAGCACTGTACTCATCCCTGGTCAATGGGTGATGGTGCATAGGTCACAACTCTTCCAAGATAGTTTCCCCACCACCTATAAAATCATAGGGAGGGAAACTGCTCTGTAAACTGCAAGGCACCCTACAACTGTGAGGGTCATTTTACTTTCAGATGGTTTTGTCTTCCTCACTCTTGCTCAAAATACTAATTTTAATGGCTGGAGCCTATGTTTAATATAAAACACTGGGAAAAAAGAAGGTATAGTAGTTAGCTACTTGATAAAGTCTCTGAGTGTATACTGCTAGATGTAGACACAACAGCAATATTGTAAAAACTGTGGTACTCATGCCTTATTTAACTCTAGATATTCTGCTATGAGGTCACAGAATTTACTTTGCAAGCCAACGGTTTTTGTTTTTGGGTTTTTTTTGGTTTTTTTTTTAGCTGAGACATCCTGCTACCTGTTGGCAGTTCAGTGGCTGCTCAGCTCGGGCTGAACTCGAACCGCTGTTGCTCAGAGCTCCAACTCTTGAGTGAGCTCTTAACCAACTGAGCCACTCGGTCAGCCCTCAAGCCAAGGGTTTTCAAAGTATGACTGAGCCAATAGGAGCATCAGCATCATCCAAGAACTTGTTAGAAATGCAAAGTCTTGGATTTCACCTTAGACCTACTGAATCAGAAATACTGGTTTAAGGCCTGGCAATCTGTTTTAACTCAATACCCAGGTGATTTTTTTTTTGTTGTTGTTGTTGCTTTTTTGTTGTTGTTGTTGTTGTTCAGCTGAGCCATCCTGCTACCTGTTGGCAGCTCAGTGGCTACTCAGCTCGGGCTGGACTCGAACCGCTGTTGCTCAGAGCTCAAACTCTTGAGCGAGCTCTTAACCAACTGAGCCACTCGGCTGGCTCTAATACCCAGGTGATTTTTGTCACATGATAAGTTTGAGAACTATTGGTGTTTGCACAAACAGTAGTTACTTAATAAAACCTATTATATAATTCTGTGTTCAGCAGCTCCATTTATGGAGAGTGGGTTCTCTCTACCTACTGGCAGGGCATACCACACTCACCCTGATGACCTGTAAACACAATGATAAGTAGTAATTCCACACAACAAATGACACTGTAAAGACAGCTTGTGTTAGAAACTCTATCGAAAGAAAGAGATGAACCAATAGCCAGAGTTTATGCTTTGATCCGCTCCTCCCCAGGCTTTGTCTACCACCAATAAAATCCACAGTGGAAGGGGTGTTGTAGGAAAGCCCTATAAACGGAATGGATGTGTCCTCCACAAGTTTGTATGTTGAAACCTAATCCCTAATGTGAGGGTATTTAGGGGCGGAGCCTTTGGAAAATGATTATATCATGAGGGTTCCACCCTTATGGGTAGAATGGGATTAGTATGCCTCATAAAAGGAGGCCCCCGAGAGCCTCCTTTCTTGTCCCTTCTGCCATGTGAGGGCTGTCTCTGAATTAGGAAGTGGAACCTCACCAGTCGTCAAATCTGCCAGCACCTTGATCTTAGACTTTCCAGCCTCCAGAACCGTGAGAAATAAATTCCTGTTGTTTATAAGCCACCCAGTCTGTGGTATGTTATAGCAGCCAAAACAGTAAGAAACAGCTACTGTACAAGTCTGATCTATGGCTTATTCATGTCTCAGGGTAGCAGTTGACAGACATAAGGGAGCATAAGGAGATGAATACAGGACCATAGGAAATAAGGACCTCATTAAGAACACCTATACTTTGGGCCGGCCGAGTGGCGCGATGGTTAAGAACTCGCTTAGGACGCCAGAGGGCCCCGGTTCGGATCCCACATATGAGGGCCAGTGACACTGCCCTCTACAGCTAAGATGCTGAACAACAGCTCAACCTGGAGCTGGGCTGCCATGAGTCGCCGGCGACGGCGTGGACTGCAGTCCCTGTGGCAGTGGATTGCCATGGGCTACCGTGAGCGGCCAGCAGCCAGCATGAGCGGCCAGCAGCCGCAGTGAGCGGCCGTCCAGAAGCCGGTGACTGATCTGCCTCGCCCGGGAAGAGCGCAATGATGGTGCCAACTTGGGCCAGTGAAGCAACGTCCTCCACAACTAGACTGAAGAACAAAACGACAGCAACTTGTCTGTTCCCCTTCCCCCAATTCCCCAGCACTGTTCCCATCCCCCCAATTCCCCAATAAAAATCTTAAAAAAAAAAAAAGAACACCTATACTTTGAGGAGACTGCTGAGTGTCCTTCCAGAAGTGCCCATTCCCAAGAGCATTCCCCTGGCCTGGCTCCACTCTAGAACTGGGGCCCACATTTTTGTTCCCAGATACGAACTGTTTTCTCCTCCCACTCATAATTCCTCCCCCATCTCTCTCACATTTCTCCCCTGGGATAACCCAACTCTTGATACCAATCCTGAATTAACACATCTGAAATCAGTCCAAATCAGATTCTCAGAAGATAAAAAATTTATTTCAGTACACAGCTATAGAGTTCACATACCCTAGTCTGGGGTGGGGGAGTGGGGGAAGAGGTGTACTTAATTTGTCTTATCCCCAAGAGGGGGTAGATAGCTAAGTCACTCTTCACTCCCAGCATAGACCCTCAGAAGTCCCAGATCCTGGGCTCCAGACATCAGGATATAATGATAGGGCTCACCCTGCTCAAAAAAAGCTCAAATAGCCTGCTTTCAGGAAGGCAAGCCTTCTACTGCTCCTTTGTCTCCTGCCCACCCTTAGGACACAGAGGGTCTGGCCAGGCATCTGTTGGGGAACCCCACGAGAATATATCCATCTCTTCATCTGTAGCAGCTATACTAGGTCTCTGATATCCCATTTTGGGGCATCCCTGAGGTCAGTCTCTGGAGGTACTGCTGACGCAGAGGGGGCAACTGGGGATACAGCTCAAAGCCTTCAGGGAGAGTGGAATTAGGAAGCTTATAGTGGAGGAGGTGCTGCCGGAGACCCTGCAAAGAGGGAAGAAACTTGAAGTGCACAGCGAGATCCTGTTGAGATCTATACCCCGCAAGACCCTCTATTCTCCCATCCTTCAGGATGTGCCCAACCCTACCTCATCTGCCAGCAGCCAAGTTTTCTGTAGCATGCTCCTGCGGGCAGCCTTTACTTCGTCCTAGAGGCAGAACAGGGAGGGGTGATATTGGGCCACGGGCTGTACCCACCACTAGGACCCCTGGCCCTCGCGTCCTCTCCAGCTGGCCCAGAGGCAGCTCAATCGCAGGCTCTTTCTTCCTCTGGAGATGGGGATGTAACTTACTGAGCTCTTTGGGTCCTGGGAGAAGATGAAGTTGTTGACATGAGCCACAGCTACAGAATAGAGCACCGGGCACCAGCATGGACGAAGTGCACTAGTAACCAGGACCCGGAAGTAGAGCTGAAGGAGGGCTAGGTTGTCTTCAGGAGGCCCCGTGTAGCACTCCAGGGATACAGGCAACTGTGACAGGGAAGAGGAGATATGTCCAGGGTGAGGGTGGGAATGTGTATCATCAGAAAACAGGATGGATAGTTGATGGTCACATGAATCAAATCATGAGGACAGAGGTCAGGTCCTGGACACACATCCTTCCTTCTCCATCACAAGGATCAAGGTTAAAGACTAAAGAGCTGGAAAGCAGGTGAAACCTGTGAATTTCTACTGCCTACCGCTCCTTGTTTAATCTACCGGTACTTAAAATTAAAACTTTCAAAATGTCATGTTCAGCTGCTCAATTATATTATCAAACCTTTCAAAAGTTCATGTTCTTTGGACCAGTAATTCTCTTTCTAAAAAATTAATTCAACGCAGAAATGATTACGAGAGAAATAAAGCTGTCCAATAGTGTTTATCACAGTATTACTTAAAATAACAAAAAGTCAGAAATAACTTTAATGCCCACCAAGGGGTTCTGATAAAATAAACTGGGGTGGGGCCGGCCGAGTGGCGCGATGGTTAAGAGCTGGCTTGGGACACCAGAGGGCCCCGGTTCGGATCCCACATATGAGGGCCAGTGACACTGCCCTCTACAAAAAATAAATAAATAAATAAATAAATAAATAAATAAATAAATAAACTGGGGTGCACCCACACAATGGATTATTATATAATAAAAAATGTTGATTTCTTAGAAATGTAATGTTAAATGAAGAAAACATTATTCAGTGATCCCAATTTTATAAAAATATGTATGCATGTAAAAAAGACTAGAAAAAGATAAATCAAAATCAAATGGTTACCATTGGACAGTAGGATGACAGATGACAGTAATGTTCTTCTTAATTCTCAAAAATATTTTATAGTTTTTTATATAAAATACACATTTATATTTCATGTACATATATTAAATATATTTATATATTAAAATACTTGTTTTAAGTTTATCAGAATAAGTTATAATGAAAATTTAAAAACCAGGTGTTAAAAAAATAGCTCTTTACAGCTTATAAATTTAGCTCCTTAATCTGATATTTGAAGCCAAGGCTTTATTAGCCTTATTTCCAACAGGTTCCCAAACTAAAATCTGTTCTAGACTCCTCGCTCCTCTCACCCTTTCATACTCATTCCTGTCTCGGACCTTTTGCTTATGCTCTCCCCCTAGGTACATCTGTCCTTCCTCCTCAACAATCCAAATTCTACCCAACCTTCAGTGCCTTGACAACGAACCTGAGGCCCACCAAAGTTCCCCACTCCTCAGGACTGCCCCCAAAGCCCAGTACAGAAGGCCCATGGTAGGCTGTGCTGGGCAGAGAAAGTACCTGGGTCAGAGGCAGGCCCAGAGCTCGCAAGGCTCCCACGTGCTCCCCAAAGAGGGTGAGGCGCAAGGTGACGCTAAACCGACGCTGCAGAGGAAGGAGTACCAGAGCCCCAAAAAGGTGGTCCCCAAACGAGACAGCCTCAAAATGCTCCAGGAAGTTGGCATAGAGGTCAGGGAAAGACGCCAGGCCAGGAAGTGGGCAATCCAGGTTGAGGTTTGGCAGGACTTCAGGCTGACAGAGCCGGGCCAGGAGGGCTGCCACCAGACGTTGTATTGGGGTCTCCCGGAATAGTTCACTGTCCACTAGGAACACACACATGAGCCGTGCCAGGCGGGCAGCAGGAGGCACAGCCCAGAGGGCCTGGGGGCGCCAGCTCTCCAGGACTAGCACCCACTGCAGGGCCCGCATGGCTGTGCCCATAGTGTCAGCTGGAGGGACCCCCGAGGGGGTGTCTGAGGCCCGGTGGTAGAGGTGAATCAAGGGCAGGAAAGGCCAGTCGGTGGGCAGAAGTGGCTCCTTAGGCAAGGGGAGCAGCAGTGCTGGGACTCGCTGTAGCTCTCTTCGGTACAAGGCCTGAGAGGCTAGCAGGCTGGCTTGGGCCAGGGAGCAGTGGGTCAGGTAGCAGCCGCGGATGCTGGGGAGGTCCTGGCAGGCCTGAGCCAGCAGAGCCCCTCGCCCACACCCAGAGGCCCTGCCGCTCCCTATGGAGAGTCGGTCAGAGAAGTCGGCTGCCTCCGGCCCCCCTGATGCTCTTTCCCTGCAACAGAACCCAAAAGCCAAAAGTAAGGACTAGAATCACAGCACCCAGGTCATGCCAGCTCTCCAGGGCTTCCTAGAGGCTCCTAGGTCCAATACTGCTCTCCTCTGTTCCCCTAACAACCTTCCATGTAGCGTGTGTGACAGTTAAGAGGATGGACACTAGAGCCAGCTGCCTAGGTGCAAGTTTACAGAACTTCTCTGTGCCTCAGTTTCCTCATAGTAAAATGGGGATAATAGTAATACCTCTCTACTTATTGGGGTGATCACTTCATAGAGTATGTAAATGTCTAATCACTGTTATACCTCAAAACTAATATAATATTGTATGTCAACTGTAACTGGAAAATAAATTTACCTATCTATGGTACAGGTAAAATACTTAAAATATGGACAAATGCTTAAGGGAATGCCAGAGTAAGCACTGTTAGCTAATATATGTGTATAGCTAGTTTATATACCATTTTTTAGCCATATAGTCACATTGAAGTCTCATAATAGTTCTCTAGTATCGTTACCCTTATCTTCACTTCACTAATGAGGAAATGGAAGCTCACAATCCATGGAAGAAAAAGAATTAAGCCCAGGTCTTCCTGGCTACAAATTCAGGGCCACTCTGTTAACTGCAGCAGCCTCTCAAAAGGCTGAGTTGATGCCACCAACCCTGGACTTACGGGAGGAACTCCAGCCGGAATACACAGCTCAGCAGTAGCTCATGGGCAAGGTGCTCGCTTCCAGGCAGTAGCCGGTTCAGCAGGGCCAAGGCCATGCCATGATGCAGGGCAGCACTGGTGGCTGGCATTGGCTGGAATGCTGCCTGTGGACAGAAGGCAGGTGGCCAGGGGGTTGAGAGAGGACTAAGCAAAGAGAAGTAAGGATGAGGATATAAGCAAAGAGGATATATGCTGAAGGGCATGTCTGGAGGAAAGCAGGAAGTGCATGGTCTGCCACAAGAGCACAGGTTCCAGAAAATTGGATGGAGATAATGGGAGATGGGGGAAATGGATATAGGTAGGGGAGGGTTGGGGGCACCCACCACTCTCTGCGCCAGGTTGATTGCCAGGTACTGCAGGTGGTACTCATGGCGCAGGGCCCACGCAGAGAAGGGTGTGAGGTGTGGGACAGCCATAGGAGTCACACATTGGAGGAAGTAGTTCTGGAGTCCTGGGGCAGCCAATACGGCGGCCAGCTGAGGAAAAGCAAGTTCGTTCAGATCTAGAAGGTGACTTTGATCCCTTCTGGGGGTCCCCAGGTAGCTGCTCCCTCCCTAGCCAAACTCAGAGAAATGAGTGCTGGCAGAAGAGGTCTCCCTTCCCCAAGGGGCGTCCTCCCTCTTTCTTTCGGAGTCCTGCCATCTTGGCCCCCTGCCTGGCCCCTAACCTGGTGCCCAGGGCTCACCTGGCCACATAGCCCCTTGTGGATCTGGGCCACGGTGTTGAAAAGAGAAAGGAGGGCAGTGAGGACCGGGAAGGGAGAGGCTGAGCCAGTCAGACTGAGAAGGGGACAGCTTCTGGTGCAGCCCAGTGACACGAGGCTGGGGAGAGCTTCAGGGGCCGGAGCACAGTACTGCGGATTGCAGAGAGGAGAGCAGCGCCTAGAGGCAGAATGGAGAAGCTGAGGGCTCTAGCCTGATAAGTGCCAGGCTGGAACAGGCAGGGGCTTGGCTGTGCAAACCAGTGACCACCATCCTTAGAACCCCCAATTACTGCCTACTAGGGAATCAGGTTTCCCTCGGGCTGAAGGCTTCTACCTGGGATGGACCGAGGAGCTAGACCCCAGAATCCCACAAGGAGAGAAACTGCCTCCCCCCTCAACTATACACATATATACATACCCAAGGGATTCCCACAGGCTGCCCAAAGCAGGCTGGCTCAGGAGGGGCAGCAACAGCTCTTCCGACAGGCGCTCCATGTCCTGAAGCCAATCTCCTGGGCACAAGCCTGGCTGGAGGACCAGAGGGATCACTGAGCTGAGAGCCCAGGGCATCCATTCTCCTAGACCCTGTGTACCCAGGCCAAGTCCACAATTCCAAGAGCCCAAGAGTCAGTTTGGAGGCTTCTGCTTTCTGACCCTTCTAGAAAGACAGAAGACCCTGAGGTTGGTCTGGCACCTCTGGCACCTGCTGTCTAGGGGTCCTGAGAGAGCATAAAGGCTCGAAGGGGGCTGAGCTACTGCTAGGGGTTCTCTGGTCCCCACCAACATGGCTCTTTGGAAGCTCTACTGGGTATGGAGGTGGAAAGAGAATGAAAGGTAGGAGGGAAAACGTAGAGGGAAGGAAAGGGTGGGGTATGGGCAGGTAGGAGTGGAGAGGTAGAGACAGAGAGAGAGAAAGAGGGTGGAATGTTAAGATGGTGGCAGGACAACCAGGGCATGGTGGAAGGCAGGCAGGCATCACGCACCTGCTGGCTCCAGGCCCGGTAGTAGGCATCCAGGAAGAGCAGGCAGGCAGTGGGCACTGGGCCCAGAGCATTCCACATCTCAGGTCTGGGCAGCAACTTCAAGGTCTGTCTTAGACATGGCTCCACGAGAGGCTGGAGCCCAGACACCTGTGTCCAAGTGATCAAGGAAGGGGTGGCCGACAGACTGGCCTCAGCAGAGTCACTATAGGAGTGACAAGAGGGACTACAGTGAGGATCTGGCTGCCTTGACTCCCATCTAAGGTCTCCCTGGGGAGGAGCGCTCCTGCCTGTCCAGGAGGTACTGGTAGGTGGCTATTACCTACCTGCTGGCTTTGGGGGCAGTGCTGCCAGCTGCCAGGGTCAGCTGGGTGAGGACAGTAAGTAATGAGGCTATGCGCTGCATGGACAGGGGCTGACAGGGGTGGGTGCTGAGCGCCTTCGGCATGGCCTGCAGGGCCCGCATCAGCACTGGGTATAGCTCCCTGCAAAGAACAATTACTGCCTTTTAGTGTAGAAGAGAGATGGAGATGTAAGACAAGGCAAGGCCCACTCCAGGGCTCTGCACTCTAGTTAAGGAGGATGAGAAGGGAGAAGCCCCAGGGCTGGGTACTGGGTACTTCAAGAGGAAAGGAAGACTGGGGGCTGAAGAGAAAGAGGTAGCCCTTCAAGGCTTCCCAACAGGGAATTTAAATCTGATTTACACCAATGCTGCTGTGCACAGGATGTGGTTAAACCAGCTTTGTTCCACTCTCCCCTGGCTGGGCCTGACCTTCAAGCCTTCTTCATTACTCCCTGAATCCCCTCTTCCTCATTCTCAGTCTCCCTCCAAGCTTGAAACCTTGAGCAAGGCTGAGTCATTAGGTTAGGCCAGAGTGCAGAGCTGGATGGGTCTGCCAGGGAACCTACACCATCTCCCCTCACCTGTAAAGGCCACCTTCCTGGCCATAGGAGGCGGCCACAGCCCATAGACGGAAGGCCTCAGTGTTCAGCATCTCAGCTTCCTCTGGGGGCAAGGCCATTTCCTGAGGAACCTCAGCTACAAAGCGGCACAGCCGGCTCCGGGTATCAAAGCTGCTCAACTGAAGATGGACAGAGAATCTGGGGATCAGGGTCAGCTGGGGGTCCCAAGTAGCCTGAGGTTCTCTCACTATGGAGACTGGCTCAGCTCAGCCCTGTTCCAGGTCCCTCTGGTGCCACAGGGTCATAGCTCCGGGCTAGGGTGACACTACCTCATCCATCCCTCTCTCCCTCCTTCCCCGCTCCTCTCCTTTTTAGCAAGCACTTGCTGGGCACCTTTTCTAGGGCTACTTGGCTATGGGTGATGAATGCCCATTGGTATATGCTCTTCTGGTCTGGGTCCAGGGAACAGGGAGCCCTCACAATAAGAACAGAGCAGGCCTACAGGATACACTCGGCTCCAGGCAACTAGGTTCCTGACTGATGGGTTTTGTCGCATTTCTAAGCAATTGGATGAGAGATGAAGAGGAAGATGTCATGAGTGGGCCACCCAGAGTCCAGGGGCCATGCTTAGCCCTCAACCCAGCACTCGAGCCTGCCCCCCCACCTCTTCCCACCGCCCCTTGCCCTGTGTCCTGCTCACCAGCCGGGCAGCAATATTCCTACCAGCCGAGGCCAGGACACGAAGTAGTTTCATGGCAGCAGCACAGGGCACTTTGTATAGACTGGGGGTAGGCCCCACCCCCACAGAGGACCAGCTGGTGGGCAGGAACTCTCTAACTATGGTCTCTATAAGCCGAGGGCACTCCAGGACCTGTGGAGGAGAGGAAGAAAGGGAGGTAGGGAGGCTGAGGGTCAAGACCAGGCCCAGCTAGGGTTTCTGCCCATTCCTGGTCTCTTCTTTCTCACCCTTGTGGCTGATTCCAGGGAATGCCGGGCCAGGCGAATGAGCACTGCCAGGACGTCAAGGACCACAGAAGGTCCTGGGCAGGTCACCTCCAGAATGTAGCGCAGCCGAGGCAGCAGGTTGGTGGCCAGAAGCCCCTGGGGATCAGAGAGACAAACCCACTGCCAAATGCAGCTGGGCCCCAGGCCTTGATGATCCCTCTTGCCCGATATGTGCTTGCCCTCGAGATCATGGGAAAGGTGCAGCTGTCCCAGCATCTTTACCTTGATGACATCATATCGGGCCAGGTCAGATGGAGGCCGGTTTCCTTCCTCAGGGCTCTTCCTTTTTGTCTTTTCAGCTGGCTCTTCGTCCTCATCCTCGCCCTCCTTGTCCTCCTGGCTGGGCATAAGAGGGAACGCCAAAGCTCCATGATACCAGGAGAAGGTGCTGTCAAGGAGTTCCTGCCAGAGGAAAAAGAATCGAGTGGGAAGAAGAAAGGGTTAGGCCAAGAAATGGACCCAGGAGAAGAGAGTGGAACTACTTACAAAGAACAGAAAGGCAGGGCTCTGGGCTTTGGGGCCTTTAGAGAGGAGGGTGACACTGCCATCCCACTCTCTGCTCTGTCTGGCAAAGCCTTCACAATGAGGACATGCCCAGCAAGAGGAGTAGGGACCCTGATGCCTTGAAGCCCCATTCCTATCCCTGTTGTACCTCATCTCCAGGAGCCACCAGCAGAGCCCGAAGAGCCCGAACAGCAGCTGCGATGACCCCATCCACTCTGTCATCCAGGGAGAAGCGCAGTAGGAAGAGGAAACCAGCATCCAAAAGGAGGCGCAAGACACTGCCCACTAGCCGGTCCCCAAACTCACCAGCCTGGGCCTGGGAGGCAGGAGGACAAAACCTTGTAGGAGGAAGTTATAGAGTCTTTGTCCTAAACCTTTCACATGCCCACATATAAATTTGTCCCATTCCCAGTCTGACCCACAGACAGTTGATGTATGGGCTAGCAAGCCAGAGTGAAAAGGGCAGGAGGTGAGAGAAAGTCTGGGGTTGAGAGGTGAGGTGTGGGCATAGGCAGTACCAAACCAGCAGTCCACTCACCCTTTCAATGACCTGGGCCAACACATGCAGCGCTAGTGCTCTCTGCTGGGATACCTGGCTGCGCGTCAGGTGGAACAGCTCCTGTAGGGAATACCCTGCTCTCTGGGGCAGAGACAAGAAGTCAATAAGAGCCAAAACACAGAGCAGCACCCCCCAACAAATATGCAGCAGCTCCTATATGCCAGGCATTGAGTTAGGTGTCAAGGGGAACACAAAGATAAGTGATATCTTTTGTCTCTACTCTCCATGGATCCTCAAACTGATAAAGAAGTCTTGCACACAATACCATGACATAGGGCAAATTGGGAGAAAGGTAGTAATTAGTGTTCAATTGGCAACCAGAGAACAGGAAAGAGAAGGGGGACCTGGAAGAGTGATGTGGTCTCAGTGGGTGGGCAGAGCTTCCATGGCCTGGCCTGGAGCACAGGGCAAAGGCATTTCCTGGAGCGGGCTTCAGGGGCCGAGCCTGGAGGCCCTTGAGCACAGGACATATTTGGGGAAAGAGAAGCAGAATGTTGTGGCAGGAGGAAGGGAGGCAGAGACAGACTGTGGAAGGGCTGTCTTGTGGGGTTAAGGAGCCAAGACTATTCCATGAGCAGAGGGAAGCCAGGACACTTTCTAAGGCAAGGCATGGCCTGAGCTGAGACAGAGGGCATCAGCAGGGCAGCCCCATGAGGGATGGGATGGAATGGCATGGTGGAGAGTGGAAGACATGGCGATTGAGCAGACAAGAGGGAACAAGGCTTTTATCTAGGAAGCATCAAGGGGAGGTAAGATAGAACTGGCAAGCTCTGGCAACTAACTAGAAAGTAAAGGAACGAGGAGAAAGATTTCAAGCCTAAGAACCTGTATAGACAGCATGGCCATGAACTAGAATAGGGCACACAGGAGTTCCGAGGCATCTGACCAGGGTTCCTTTCCCATATGGTTGTTAAAAGCTGCCCAGTCCTCCCTGGGCCCCATGCCTCACTTCTGCCTCCTCTCCATGGTGGTGCAGTCCTAAATGGGTGGGTAGGTCCACATCGGGGGCCAGTAGTTCTCCTTGAAGACTGAATCGGGCCTGCATCCTCTAATGGGAAAAGAAAGAGGACTATGGGTTGGGTGAGCAGCAACTTCCCCACACCCACTCACCTTTAATCCCAGGCCTCTCAGGATTTAGGTCCTGACTCTACCTCTGACTAGAAATGGGGCTTCTCTAGCCCTTGGTGCCAGGTAGGTGAGCGCAAAGGGAAAATGCTTCTCAAGCTTAGGGGAAGAAAAGGGCCTGAGTTCTGGGTATAAGAGCCACAGCCCCACTCCCAACTGCTCCACCCCTTGTAGGCCAACTGGCCCTCCTTACCTCCTGTGTCTGCTGCCGTCGGAGTGGGGGCAGGTCCTGGGTCCAATGGAGCTTCTCCAACTCAACAGTGTCCATGTGCAGCCATTCCTTGTGGGGTGCTACAGGGAGTGCTGGAACTGGGGAGATGCAAGGAGAGTAGTACTCCCTAAGTGGCTGAGCTCACTGACCCACTGGGGTCCTAGACCTCACCCAGCAGCTGCCACATCTACCTCTGCCTAAGGGTCTGGCAGCTTCTGCCTTCAGCTATGGCTAAATGGTAAGACCCAGGGGCTGGAACTCCTGAGAACTGGGCGAATGTCTCAGATATGGCAGAAGACACCCAGTCCCAGGGCTCCTTTTTGACCTCAAGGATTTGTTGGGAGGGGGAAGAGGAAGAGGAAGAGGAAGGGGTAAGGAAGAGAAGAGAGGGGGAACAGAGGAAGGGAGGACCACATATATCAGGGAAAACATAGTTCTTCGCCGCCCAGTACCAACCTCCTAGAAGAGACGGGGAGTGGGGACAATGAGGGGGCAGCTATACTGCTTCAGCCAGGCAAGATACAAAAACACACATCCACAACAGCCTCTTGCTTCCTCACCCCAACCCCCACCCAACCTGCTCAGCTGGCCTGCAGCTTATTCAGGGGCAGAAGGGTCCTGGTTCTCATAATTCAATTTCTTCTTTTATTAATCACTAATAAAATAATCAAGTTTCTAGGAAATGAGTGCTCCCACCAGCCTCTCTGCGTCAGGTCTGGCATATTTATAAGACCTACGTCAGACTCTTCTCCTATCACCCTGGACCTGCCATCTTCCCCCAACACTGACAGCAAGGCAGAAAACTGTGGGATGGATGGATCCACAGCTGGGGCAGCCATTGCAAAGGCAGCGGGGAAATGGTCCGCAAGGGACGGGGGCCGTGCAGCTATCACACACAGCTGCCGGCCCCTTAGCAGGGAAGGGAAAAAAGAAGCAGTAACGGGGCAAGAAAACAGGAAGCATGTGCAGGAAGAACATACACATCAGCAAATGAAGACTGATTTCAAGGCAGTAATGAGGATTAACATTCGATGCCCAAGGACAGAGAAGGTTCTCCTTTCTCATCTGCCAGGCCCAGGAGAAGAAATCCTTTCCTCTACTTCTATTCCCAAAAAGATGTTCCCCCTCCTCCAAACCTGGCGCTCCTGGCTCCAGCTTATCTTCCTGCCTGGACTCATTGGCAGAAGTTGGCATAATGGACTCCTCTCCAGTGACCTCAGCAAAGGGTCCTCCTGGCCTTGGCTCCTCGGTGGCCTTTTCCTCTGCTTGCTCATGGGTGTGGCTGCGAGACCTCAAGAAAGCAACCAAGCTGGGATCTAGAGAGGGTAGAGGGGAAAGTGGGTGAGGGCAGATCCTCCCCAGCCTCCTCTAGACCTGAAACCTGCTGAACACTGCCTGCCTACGGATGCCAAGGCCAAGACAAGCCACTTCCCAGCCCTGAACTGAGCCCCCCTGGGTTCTCAAGGGGACTCAATGATCCATATCTGTCACTGGTACTTGCCTGCCCACCCTTCACAGTTCCCTGGCCCAGGTTTATGCTCATCCCTGTGCTTGGCTCCAGGTCAGAGGCCCACAGTACGTGGCTATGGAATAAATGAATGAATGTTGACTAGGGGAAGGCATTTAGCTCATTTATTTATGCATAAATATTCACTAAAAACCTAATATATACTGTTATCTATATAGGTGCTAGATATATAGTTTGGGACAAGATTGACTTGGTGTTACTGTTTTGGTGAACAGACACCAGGAGGGAGGTGTAGTATAGTAGTGTCAATATGGTACACTGCAGCCATACTAGAGAATAGCTATAACAGTGCATATTACACTAGGGTAGTACAGTACACACAGCAGAGTGGTTAAGAGCATGGCTTGTGAGACCACACAGACCTGGGTTTACATCTCACCCATGTTCCTTACCAGCTGTGTGACTTGGGGGAGAATTTCTTAAATTTTTGAGTCTCAGTTTTTTAAATTTTCATAAGTAAATGAAGTTAGTACCAGCTACCTCACAAGGAACAGTTTGGGGACAGAATGAAATAATGCATTAAGGTACTCAGCACAATGCCTGACACTCACAGGAAGCCTTCCTCAGTGAGTGGCAGTCCCTTCCCAGCCTGGTCTCCGTAGGAAAGCCAGGGACCCATACCAAGCTGAGCCAGCAACCGCTGCTGTTCCTGCAGAATCTCCCCAGGAGTCATGGCTTGCAGTCTTGCTATGTTCTCTTCATGGATAGTCTGGGCTTCCTGCTCAGGCTCCTGGCCCCTGAGCCCCTTCCCTGTGACCAGATGGGGTCCATGGAAGCTGTGGCTGCCCCATGGAAGCTGGTAGTCCTGCTCGGTAGGCATGAGTGACTCACAGGTCACAGAACCTGAAAGAAGTATATGATCAGTTTCATCATCTCATACCAAATGGGGCTTCTGGCCCTCTTCTCCAATCCCATTAGCCCTGGAGACAGAGACAGATGAAAGCCCCAAAGCTTTTCCAGGCACAGAATGAAGGAACCTCCCCCCGCCCCCNCCCCCCCGCACTCACACACACAAGTTGAACTGGGGTGGTGACCTCTCTATTTATTCTTCCCCTTGGACTTATATGAGGTTTCCCTTAGAAATATCCTTTCTCACTCCTCTCTTAGATGTTCAGGCAGCTGTCTGCCTCCAGGACCTGCCCCCAGCTATTCTGCTAGTAATTTGCATCATTAAAAGAATCCTGGCTTCTATCTTTATCTTAGTCTCTGCCAGACACTTCTATCCCCTTTCTTTCTCCGAGGGTTGAGTAATAGTCTGCCCTCTCCCTGCACCTAAGACCCAGATGAGGACCCAAGCCACCCACATGCAATACTCTAAGTGGGGATATAGGACAGCTCTCTCTTTAGATGGCTCAAATGTGCTTTATATTTGAGGCAGGGAACATGTATATCCAAAGATGACTCTATGATCATGTATCACAAAAATGCCAAGTCTATGCCTCTTCAACTCCAGCTCACCCTCTGGTGGGTCCAGGCTAGACACAACTTCTTTAATAGGTGGGACTCTGGCTTCAGACACTCTCCTTGCTGCAATTTCCTGGGCAAAGATGCTTTTCTTACCAGCTGTTGCTGGCTTCCTCTATGGGGCAAAAAGAAAACCCAGGTGATTGATACTTATCATCTCATTCTTTTCTCAACCTCTCTATACCAAAGTCACTGGAACAAAAAGATAAAAGGGACTTGCTTAATCTCCAAGGGTCACAGCCCTAGTCCTCAGAAAAAGCAGGGTACTATAGAAGCATAGGTCTTGAAGTCTGACAGACTTGGGTTGGATTTCCAGCTAGCTCTTCTATATAGTAGATGTGTGGTATTGGAAAAATTATTTATCTTTTGGGGATCCCAATTTCCTCATCTGAAAAAATGGGGATAATGATACCTACCTTACATGGTTACTATGAGGATTAAATGAAGTAATGCATATGAAGTGCTTAGAGCACTATACTTTAGTGCTCTAGCAGTAGAGTTTGTGCTTTAACAATAGAATTGTTTATCATTATTAAGATTACCTACCTGGGGAAGATGCACTATGAGGCTCACCTGACTATGCTAAGCACCATCTAAGGTTACCCCTGCCTACCTGTCTCCCCTGCGAGCGATGGAATACAGGAGGGAATGCAACGCCACTGGGCACAGGCAGATTCACAGCCATTGAACTTGTATCTCGCTCCTGCAGCAACAAAGCACAAAGCAGTGACAATGTAGAGATTTTCCCAGGATGGAGCCTATCCCACTAGCCTCAGTTCTGTATGATTAGAACCTTACTCTAGGGGGTAATGAACCCACCTTGCTTTTTAGGGCACAGTTATTCTAAACCAGCCCACAGCCTAACTGCAGGGGGATAAAGTCCCACCTTTCTGAATCACCCTTTACTCATAAGGCTCACCACCCCCACCCAATATCCTTGCTGCCCTAGGGTGCCTTGTCCAGGTTGAGACGCACAATAATCTTAGTCAAGACAGCAGTGATGTGCTGATCATGTCTGTTCAGCCTCTCTTCGGGGTCCTCATGTTCAGCCAGGGGATGGCCAGGGCTGGGCCTGGCTCTTTTGTGGGGAGCAGGAACCAAAGCTGGGGGCAAATCTGGGAGATCTGAGAAAGAAAAAAAACCCAGATGTGCAAATACTCATACCTTCTCAAGAAGAGTCTCAGGGCTAGGGGAAAGCCAAAGAAAGAAAGGCAGCTGCTGTGGGGCCCTGGATCAAGCTGTGTCACTTTGGGCAAGATCTTTATCCTCTTTGAGTCTCATTTCTTCCTATGTAAAATGAGGCTGTAGCAACAGAGGCTATGCAGGGTCTGAAATAATGGTAGGGCGGAATCCAGCCACATCAGGAAGGGAGAGGGGACCCTGAAGCTGTACCCTCTCTTCTTCTCAGCCTCATACCCACAGCCACTCACTGTCCAGCATCACCACATCCCGATGATCCTCCAGGGGTGGCTGGTCCAGGTTAGCATCGCCAGCGTTCCTACTTCCTTTTTTCACCAATTGTACTGCTGGGGCTGCACCAGCTGCGAGAAACTGACTCTGGAATCGCAGCAGGTCCACCTCGGACTCCCCTGGCTTTGGTCTGGACAGCATCTTGACACTCCAGCTGCCTCCTCAGAGCCACTCTTTGCAGCACTGCTTCGGTGTGGAGACTCCCTCTCATTCACCCCTAAAAGCAATGAAGAAGATGGGCCCTCTTTAACTGAACCCTGGTTCTCTTTATTGTGCATCACAGAAGACTCTTTTTCCTTGGGTTCATTTCTCCTAATTCATACCTTTTGCCATTCCCTCCCTATTTAGCCCTCCCTGATGTCAATCAGTCTAGCAACAATATTTACTGCCAACTTAGGTTATTTACAACCTGTGGATAATACAAACTCTCAGGAACAATAGTAGGGGAACTAAGGAAAATGCCATCAGGAACCAGACAGATAAATGTGTCATACCAGGGAGTGGTGATTCTGTATCAAACTGTAGAGAACATGCCTGGCCTAAAAGTACTGAATTATTAAAAACCTTGGGCTGTAAAAGATTGATATATAAAAATCATTTTTATTTCTATATACTATCAAACTATGATCAGAAAATGATATTAAGAAAACAATTCCACTTACAACAGCATCAAAAAGAATAAAATACTTAAGAATAAGTTTCACCAAAGAAGTTCAAGAGTTGTACACTGCCGGGTCCCACAATTGTCCGTAGGGCTCTGCGGTCGAGCGCGCTCCTGGACTACCCGCTTCAGCAAAGAGGAATCACCGAATCTCAGCTTATATGCTGCCCGCGGATGGAGGGCCGTCCCCAAGATCTCCGTACCCAAGGGGCCGGCGGCCACTCCTGTGCAAACCAAACACACTCGGGTAGACTCCCATAAAGGAACTGTATACCCTACACCAGAGTCCTCCACCGGGATCCCCTGAAGTCTTTCTCTTCAGCCCAGCCACGTACTTGCTCTAGGAACAACTGGGCGCCGCCATCTTGCCCCGCAAGGGCCGTGTTTCCGCCGCCGCTAGACCTGAGTTTCCGCCCCGCAGCCAGGCCCCGCCTCTCCCCGGCCTGGCTCCGCCCGCTGTGGGGCTTGTTGGCTTGGCGTTTCGGACCCGTGAGCTCGAAGGTACTCGGCTTTCAGTGTCCTCCCCAGCATGCGAGTTCGATGCCGACGCTCAGAACACCCATCCTTCGGATGTACAGCAGGCACAGGCCCTTCTACACATACAACATCTGCAACAGAGGCAAAGGTTCCCCCAGTCGTCCCTCTGCACTCACCAGCCCTGATAGCCTTAACCTATACCCCAGAACCCAAGCTGAAAGAATGGGGGTGGTGAGAGGAGAAAGCAGCCTCACTGCCCACGAGGTGATCCTCCTGCTTTTGTTCATGCTAGTGCCCCTTATTAGAAATCCTCCCTCTTTTCCCTTCCACCCCTACCCCCAAAGTCTTTCTCTTCTTTTAAGGCCTAGCTGGAGTTAACTCTAAAACCTTGGCCAACCGGGCCAACTCACTGAACTTTCCTTGGAATCTTCCACCTGTACAACGTGTGTGGCATGTTGGAAATGCACTGCCGACTATCAACTATCAATGGTTACCTTTTCACAAGCATATATCCTGTTCCCTTGAATAGACGGTGAGGGGCACCAGGCCTTCTTTTTTGCATTCGTAATGCTCAGTACCCAGCATATTGCCATGCACATAGGACCTTAGTAAATCATTGCTTGGTTGAAGGCCAACGTAGGGCAGCCAAAAGTAGCCCAGTGGTTTTCAAACTTTAGCAGGCATTAATTACCTGGAGGGCTGGTTAAAACAGATTGCTGAGTCTCACCCTCAGAATTTCTAATTCAGTAGGTCTGGAATAGGACCCAAGAATTTGCATTTCCAGTAAGTTTCCAGGTATTCTATAGAATCCTTCTTTAGCTTTCTTGATCTCAACTGCAGCTGTAAATTTCAGCTACTAGAATTTAGCCAACCTTGGGGTCCAAAATCGTCCTGCACCTAGTCAGAATTTATGGGAAGTGAGGGAGGGGAACTAGAGCCCAAAATGCAGAAAGAATGTTAATAGAAAATCATTGTTTGGGCCAGCTGAGTGGCGCGTTGGTTAAGAGCTGGTTTGGGACTCCCGGTTCGGATCCCACATATGAGGGCCAGTGACACTGCCCTCTACAGCTCAACCTGGAGCTGGGCTGCCAGGAGTCGCCTACAACAGCATAGGCTGCAGCCCCTGCTGCAGTGGGTTGCCATAGGCTATCGTGTATAGCCAGCAGCAAGCGTGAGCAGCCAGCAGCCGCAGTGAGCAACCGTCCAGAGGCCAGCGACTGATCTGCCTCACCTGGAAGAGCGCAATGAT